CTTTATCCCCCCCCCCCCCCGCCCCACAGGCTCGGACCGCACATTGCTTCAGGTATTTGCACGAATCTGTCCACTCCGCTGTGTTAGCTCGCGATATTTATCCTTTTCTAATGGGTTTCGAAGCGGTTGTCACCTTACGAATACAGTCGTGTAAAATTTATATGAGTCACCGTCGAGATTGCAAGTAGCGCGCACTAGCTTCACATCCGGCGCGTAAGTAGTAACGGACGACAATCATCGAGCCGCAAACAGGACATTCCAGCTGGCAACATATGATTTATTCAAAATTACGCAAAATTTTTTGAACGGCTCTTCGATAATTCAATTAAAATTGTACATGAGTAAAAAAGATTTTCTCGTCTGATTGCGCTTTCAAATAATAATCTATTAAAGTCTTTTAATTATCCTTTTCTAACTATCTCCAAGTATCTAAACATTGTTGATGCCCTCGGCGACGAAAATCATTAGCGAACTTTTTTAACTTCATGAAGTAACTTCTTGGAATCTATTCGCTGAATTAAATTTAATTGAAAGGAGAAGGAGACGGGTGCATATTTGCGTGTAGCTAAGACGCGTCTGGACAGATTTAATATTTAAATCACGGTAAAATCGCCCCATAGAGTGTGCAATACACCGTCGCAATCTCTTTCGATGCAAAACCTAAGCAGCGCGTCAGTAATCAGCGATCATTTATGCGTCGTCTATGTACAGAAGGCGATCCTACGTAATGAATACTCTACGGACTTCGATTCGCCGCGGCCGACGGTGCGCCCAAGAAAAAAAAAAAGATTATTGTAAGAACGTTGTACATACAGTATAATGCATTACATTAGTACAGGGTGTGCGTCCGCGAGATAATTCGCATGAATCTCTTTACCGTTACTTGCTGCCGTGTCGCCGCTAAAGACACACGCGCATCCCTGAAGAAAATTCTCACCGAATTCAATCCTAAGTTATTTAAATCAACGTAAACTCCAATTATTCCTTGCCAAATATCTGTACCAAAGAAAATCCGCTTCTTCATAATTTGCAGATTACGCGACGAAGCGTGAAACTCGAAAGTTGTTATAAAACTTGTTGTATTTAATATTATTTTTCTATTCTACAACTTCGTTTCTCACTTATCTAGTCATGCACCTAATTTGTTTCATTGGAGTATTTACAAATTTTATTTACGATGACATTACGTTTCTGAGAAACGGAATTCATAATTGCATGACGGTAAATTGAACATGCAATATCGTTTGGTCCAAGGGAACGTGAACTCGTACACGAATCAGGAGCCGACAAAATTTCCGCGAGCATCGTCGGCGTTTTTACGGCTTGATTAAATCGCGCATGTGTGCATTGAAGCGGAACGAGCTCGCTTCTTCTTCGCGTACGGCCGTAAGATCGCGTGTCCCGATCCCAGGCGAGATCTCGCGATCTCGTTCTCGCGAAATGCGCCCGTGCTCGATTCAAACCAGAGCTAATACGTGTATCATAAACTCTTTTAACTTATTTGTTACGTAAGAGCTGGGTAGAGAACGCCACATATACGGGAACGAGCGACGAGCATGCGAGAAACGAACGCAAAGTGTTTATACAGCTACGTTACTCGCTGGCATATCGGCGCTCGCCTAACTGCGAGTCGCCTCGTTCCGCCGACGATAATTTTACAACGAAAACCGCGTTCCCATCATCCGTCATCCGTGAGATGTTAGACGATAATCAAAAGTACAACGTTTAAGTCATATCAATTTGACGGCACACGCAAATCGGAGATCGAACCTTCACGCCATCCTTTTTAACATTCACGCGAGTTATGTGGCCGCTCTACCCATGCGACACACAGGGTGGATTGCCGAAACCGAGTTCGACCCTGATTAGACAGCGCCTGTGAACTCGTCACGTAATCCGGGGCAAAGGTCGTCGGTGTTGAATTGACGTAAACGACCAGCGAAAAGAGGAGAACCTGGCGAGAATGCAATTCGAAACCAATGATATGTTCGTTAACCGTTTGAGTGCCGTGAAAGGCAATAGACTCGATCGCAAACGCGCTTAGTTTCTACCGCGACTGTCGGGACTTGGCCGGCCGAATCACTAAGGTAGTTTTCCACCAAGAGACACAAGTGACACAAAATCACACAGTGTTCGACATAATGTTTTTCTACAACGACACAGCTCGACACAAATATACACAGCTAAAGAGGTGAGTCGAGGTGATTTGTGTTCAATTCATGGCTGCCAATCATTTGACAAACTTGGGGAAATTTTAAGTTGTAAAAATTGAAACACTGCGTGTATGTAGGTAAAGACAACAAGAAATGAAATTTTTTCTGTAATCGCAGAAAATATTCAGTGTACATTTATTTGAGTCATAAACCACTTAATTCATTCAAACTACTATTTGAAGAAGTAGAACTAATAATTAAATTAGATTTTTCCATTAATTGACAAATAAATATATTATTGTTATTTATTTGAAAAATTAGAATATTTAATTTACATTTTGTACAAAATAAAAAATAATAAAGATAATGTTTTATTTTGCTCATACTGTGTGTATTGTTTCATAAAAATTATCAAACACAAAATATTTATTTTTGTAAATTATATTTACTATGCAATTAATACACAATTTTTTAATTTCTTTCTTTATAATTTTTAAAAAACTTTGTTATAAAAGTGCTGTATAAAGAGGTGTAAGAATTAAGTTATACGAGAAAAATCACTATTACTTATATAAAGCGCGAACTACTGGCTGTACTGATTGTGAGAATTAAATGACGTTCCAAGTAGCAGCCTTACACAACTTTCCAGTGTCTGACACTGTGTCTATTTGTGTCTCATTGGTGGAAAACTACCTAAATCGACGCTATTTCTTTAAAAAAAAAAAAACTAATTATTTGTATGTGAACGAGGGAGCGCGATCGTGTTCCTTGGCACTCAAACAGTTGAATCTCTTTGCACCGTCTCGCGTCATGAATACACACGAAAAATGGAGACATCTAATTCTACAGCCGGCAAAACTTCGTCGAATAACAATACCACGCGTGGTGAGAAAGTAAGTGCATTATAGCAAGTCATTTTATAAAATTAATTTTATACCGAAATTAATTCGTTTGGTGAAAACATTGGAAGATAGTTTTTCATTTACATTATACTCGTGCACAAAAATAAACTATAATATTATATAATATTATCGTACCGATGAAAAAAATGTTACACATTTTACTACGAAGGTTCTGAGGAAAGAAAAAATTTATCGCTTGATTAATCTGATATTTAGCTCAAGAGATTTGCTGACAAAACTCTTTCTTTTTTTTTTCATGACAGACACATGTAGAACGCACTAAACTTAGAAATTTCCGAAAGTTATTGTAACCTGAACACTGAAAATCATAGCGTCCGACAGACGACCGGAAGAATATATGAGAAGAGATGGGATATTTCTTTGCGGAAAGACACAGTCACAGCTTCCTCTCATCGACTTAACGCGCGTGTCGGCAGTCCGTCCCCGGAGAAAGGCGTACCTCGTGTCGAAGAAGCGTAACTCCTTAAGACGTATACTGTACCATATTACTCGTAAGTGACCCTAAGCATTCCTAGAGTAAACTTTAACGATTAGCGCGGCCCTCGGGACGGCCTGTGGGACCGATCGTGCGACCGGCACCGCGACGGGGAACGATGACTATCCAGCAGATGAGTTCCCGGATCGGTCCGACGGGTCGCGAGTGCGAAGGACGCTCATGTAGATAGGGTGTTTTCATGTGTAGCGTATAGGCGTGTAGAATATTTAGTCTTAGCGCGAGGATGCGACAGTGGAGAGAGTGTCGAAAGAAAAAAAAAAAAAAACTAAACCGAGAGTGACAGAAAGAGAGAGAGAGAGAGAAAGAGAGCCGTATTTGTGCGTGCGAGGGTTGCGTGTGTTGCGAGCGAGCAGGCGTGATTTCGGGAGTGGAAGGTGAATAATAATAACTACGATGACTATTGATGACGACGATGACAATGATGGATGAGTGGATGAGCGAGGGATGTCTGGCACTAGCGTAGAACGCGTTGGGTTAGGTAGATAAGCGATTCCCCGCCTCCCGCGGAGGGCCGGAGAACACGGTCCCTCGTCGCTGATAGCAAAACTACAGAAGGCGAAGTGGAGAGTCGAGAGTCGCGAGAACTCGCGCCGGGAAAGCGGGGGAACGCTGTTGTTGTTCTTGTTGTCGTGCGCTTGTATTAAAGTCGCCATGTTCTAATTAAACGTGCCGACGGGGTTGTATCAGTCGTCGGCAAAATCAACGTGGCTCCCATTTCTCCATGCATTCACGTTTTCGTCTCGAATCGAAAGGAAAAAAAAATGTATATTTGCGCAGACCGAAAAAAAAAAAGAAGCGAGCGAGAAAGGAAGCCAATGGAAAAGCGGCGGAGAAGAAAATCAGAAAAAGCACACCGGAGCTTTGCTGCAGCTTCTCTCCTTCCGCGTATATCTCGTACGTGTAAAACGCGCGTGTGTAAATGAAACCGGTGGGGAAGAGAAAAAAAAAGGAAGCGAGACACGGAGAAGGACGCGGGAGGGCACGAGAGAACACAGGAGACACAAAGAACGCGATTGCAGTGCGACGGAGAAGGCGGAGGGCGGGGTGAGAGGAAGGTGCGGAGGTGGATGGAGAAAGAAATAAGCCGAGGAACACACGGTAGGTCAGTCTCGGTTGCTGGCGGTTGGCGAATTGGTCGGGTTGCCATGGAGAAGAGGGCCGGGGGTGTGTGTATTCCCTGTTAGTTCGGCGGGGTCCGCCCCGACGGGAAACCCCCATTCGGGAAATTCGCGGCGTCGCCACGCCGAAGCGCACCGCGGTCCCGGAGGTTTAGCTCGGCTTGGCTAATCGATTCTGCTACCAATCAGCGCCCGCGCCGTTCCTCCACGTCCTCCTCCACCCTCTTTACCTTCGCGCCCTCTTCTCCTCTCGCTCCCTCTCTCTCTCTCTCTCCATTGATATTTTGCGCACCACCGCCATCGCCACCCACCTGGCAACCCCACGCCACCCCTCCACACCCATTTCTCCATCATCGAATCCACCTTGCACCCTCCTTCGGCGCCCTTAGCGCTATCAACACCTCCGTCGCTTATGTACGCGTTCCTCCACCGGTAGTACCCCACCCACCCTCTCCGTATCTTACTTCCCATATATGTACATTACTCGGATCCCAGATACATCGCGGACGGATGCAATAATACATCGTGGAGACGCGTATCAGAATTAAGAGGTGTGTCCCGATCGGGCCTCGACGTGGAAAATCAGCTATCCGATCGCTTTTCATTAATTCAATTGAATCCGCAAGAACGATTCTGCGGAAACCAAATTTGGTCAGAAATAAATATTCTGCTTTATACGCTTTTAATGTATTAATTCTATCGTGAAAGTTATAGAGAAAAGCCACATATTCTTATATCTGTTGTTCTGACTAAAATTTTCTTTATGTTTCTTTCACTTATAATAAAAAATATAATAAAATGATATTTATTTAATTACGATTTGCGTATTGAAAGAGAAATTGAGAAATATATCTATGAGATCACACAGTTCGCATTTTCTAGCTTCTAAAAAAATTATTTTGGCAATCAGAATTGTTTAATTTGAAATTCTATATCTCTCTGCATATTTGATTTTTATAATTATGACTTTTATTTAGTAATTCGAATTAAAGATAATACCCACAGCGTCATCTAACCGTGTTTGTCATCATCAGCAGAATGTTATCGACAAGCTAATCCGCAAGTACCGTCAAAAGATATTAGAATTCACAGTTTTTCGTTATCCAGTACAGAGAGCGTTTGTGCACAGTAGTTTGTTTTCAACGAGGGTTGCTTCAGGTTACTTGAACGAAATATAATGATAACGACGTCATCGTCAGGATATCGCAGGCTGGAGATAAAAGGATACGAAGGACAGATGTCAATAAATACACGTAGAAGGCGCACATGTGCGCTATAATACACTATCAAGCATTGTTATGCTACGTGTACCTGTGGACGCTGCACGTAGAGGAGTATTGTCATTGATATTTATACTTTGACCCGGCCGGTGAACAGAAACATCGAGCATTCGGGACAAAAGACGGAGTCTTTTTGACATTTAACGAGCTAACACAAGCATCAAAATGACCACGAAGCATTTGAGTGCCGGTACAATTATTTATATCGCATAAATCGTATAATTGATAAACTAACAAGAACATCTGTCAAATAAATTTATTATTTTCCACTTCAGGATCGGTGCCTCCACCCCTTGTACCTGGAAAAATACGTTTGTACAGTATGCGTTTTTGTCCATACGCGCAAAGGATACACCTTGTATTGGATGCCAAGCGAATTCCGTAAGTATGATTACATGGGTTATTTTTAACGATTTCCACATTGATTTTAATAAAAATTTAAGTTATATTTGATACAAGTATTTTCTTTTTGTAAAAACCATCTTAACAAATAATTTTTAATTAGCTACTAAATAATTTAGAGTTTTACAAGATTTCTTTGTATATTGTTTTATTTTTAGATATGATACAGTATATGTGAATCTAACAGTTAAACCAGACTGGTTAATAGAAAAGAACCCATCAAATAAAGTTCCTTGTATTGAATTAGAAAATGGAGATATACTATATGAAAGCCTAATCATTGCTGATTATCTGGACGATGCCTATCCTGAAGATAAACTTTATCCAAGTAATTCTTTAGCAAAAGCTAAAGATAAGTTATTGATTGAGAGATTTAATGCAGTGATAGCAACTATGCACAAAGTATTTACTACATTGATTTTAATGTATCATTGTTTATAATTCAAATACAAGTATGCATTTTGATCTTGTTATATTTGATTTTCAGGGATTTGTTCAAGAAACATTCGACCAAGAGGTATACAGTGAGGCGCTAGCCAATTTAGAAATCTTTGATCGAGAGTTGGCCAAGAAAGGAACTCCCTTTTTTGGAGGAAGCAAACCTGGCATGGTGGATCTAATGATATGGCCATGGTGCGAAAGAGCAGATGTAATAAGAATTTTACGGGGGGAGCAGTTTGTCATACCTCGAGAACGTTTTCTGCGACTGGTAATATAATATTATGCGAAGATAACGTTACTCAAAATTGTAATATAAATCTTTGTATAATACAGCTTGAATGGAAAACTGCTATGAAAGAAGATCCGGCAGTACGTGGCAGCTTCTTGGATGCTGAAGTACACGCCAAGTATATTCAGAGTCGCCTAGCCGGAATACCTCAGTACGACCTAATAGTTAATTAAAGATGATACATGTGAATGCTCATTCCACTTAAAGTTTTTGATTTGAAAGATTTGTTATTGTTTTCTTTACATGTTGTCAGTTTAAATAGATGGATTCTATAATTACATATAGTGTAAAATATATGCACCACACATAAAGATATTAAAACTGATTAAACATACTAAAATTGTTGAATACATAAGATTGATGTTTACCAAAATCTAACAAGAAAGAGTATATTCATAGCAATATAGAGAAGCATTTTATATATATATATATATATATTTTGATCATATTAATTAATTGTGGAAATAAAAATTTCTTTTACATATATATAAATTATATGTAATTATAATACATATATATAAGTTACGTTTTCATAATATTTATAAATGTTTTCACAATATAGTTATTTTGTTGTAATATACACATTATTGTATGCAGAGTATACTTTAAGTTTCATGCAATTTTTGGAATATAAAATGTATCAATTTTTGCAATTTATTACAATGTTATATATGTGTGTGTACTGATGCATGTCACTATGCCTAAGTCATTTTTGTACGTCAATGTTTTTTTATTATCTACGCATCTTTATTAGCGCATTATAATACTACTTGACATTATTTGATTTGGTATGAAATAAATTCGATACTCACAAAATCTTGTAGTTTAATTGGTAATATTATATTAATAGTCATGTACAAAACTTACAAAACAAATTAACATTATTGTAATTTTTCAAATATTAAAAAGCTAATGAACATTTGTTATCATCATATACACTCCGTACAACAGGAAACATAAAAAGATCAAACACACTACTACCATAAACGATTTGGAGTTTTCCTTCCTTAAACTTTGTAATTCTTCCTCGTTTCTCCTGAGAACTGCTTTAACTTCTTCCAATTCTTTTTCCAACCTTTCCCGATTCTCAGTAGTAAGTAATTTTGTCTTCAGCTTTCTCTCGATTACTTCAACCCTATATAAAGTATCGTTTAAACTCTCTTCCACATGTTCCATCTAAAAAATATGCAAAGAATCCAGCAAATTTGATATAAATTCATATTCAACAAATGACTAAAAAGTAATCAAATTATTAATACCTTGGTGATGATAGTATCATTTCGCGTCATTAATGCAGTTGGATAATACACTTGTATATTTATATTGTCACAGATCACTCGTACGTGACACTTATTAAATTTTTGTTGATAAATCACGTCTAGAAAACCACTGAAGGAACACTCACCAAAGGGAAATCTGTTTTTGAGCAATCTTCTGAACAATTTTCGAATGTATTTAATTTAATATTTTAAATCGGATCGGATGAGTAGCTTAAGAATCCTATTGACACTAAAGGTATAACGAAACAGTGACACACGAGACGAAAACGCAGCTCTGTATACACCGTAATGGAGGGAACAACACACACAATTGAGAATCGCGTACATGTGCGCTCCACGTTTCAAATAGTAGAGGAAAGTGAATTTTGTTTTTTTCTGTCTCGTTTTTTATACCGAATCACAAAAGCGAAAATTGTTCGCTTCTTGTTACACGTTTTCGATTTACGTATATCAGAAAATGGAAATTTGGATGAATATTTAATTATTGCTTACTTCTAATTAATTTTTATAAATTAATTAACATTAGTCAACTTTAAGATAATAAAACAAGACGATGGGAATCATTTCAGAATTTTATAAGCACTTTGATATCGTTAAAATCGATTGAGATATAATTAAGAATTGTATAATCACCTTGTCGCAGCCAAAAACCCGACTTTTATTAATTAATTGACAAATTATTAACAATTGGCATCTCTTAAATTTCACAAAAAATACTTTCCAAAAACCTTAAACCAGACGTGGGAATTATTTAAGAATTTTGTCAGCACTCTAACATCTATGAAAAGTAGCAAGTCAGAAGCGAAAATAAGTATATAGAAAGCACGCAGTTACTTGTTGGAACGGTTTTTGCGTATAAGTTAACCGGAGCACAGGATAATTAAGAGCTCGAACAAGCAAATAACGCCATCTATTGGATAACTATTGCGATATGAAGAATAAAAATGCCATGGTAAGTGCGCTGATGGTAAGTGCGCTGATGGTAAATGCGCCGATGGTAAGTTGCCGATCTCTACTTCGGCAACCTCTTGCCTTTTCTGTGATCCTAATAACATTTCGCTCAATTCCGACAATTTTCGAACCCACGTGGAGAGCCGGAATCTCTCCATAAGCACTTTTACTGGCATTTGAAGATCCAACACAGTCTTGTTTGACCGTGGACCAATAAAATGGCCAATGTTTTGTTAAAAGCGACAGAATTTTATAGAGATAATTACTTTCGTAACTTTTAATAATTAATTCTGTTAATTAATTTTTTAATTATACGATTCTTAATTATTTTATTATAATTATATTTCAATCGATTTTAACAGCATTAAAATGCTTATAAACTTCTGTAAACAATTCTATCATCTTGTTTTATCTTAAAGTCTACTAATATTAATTAAATTCTAAAAATTAATCAGAATTAAATTAAACAGAAATAAAGTATAGCTGTTTTTTTTTATTGTTTACAGCCAGTTGTAACGCAGGATACACATGTACGCGTCTTCGACAGAGCGCATGATTCTCCACCATTATAGTTTATCCTGTCGCCATTTCAGTATCACTATCACTTATTATTTGCTTTCAGTAACACTACGTGTTGCACATTATTGCTGCATCATTGTAGCGTATAAAGATAGCAGGAAGTATCTTGTATAATATTACGCGATATGACGGGACGTGTGGCTGTGGTGCGTAATTAAATATAAATTTTGCAGTATAATAAAGAAGTTAAAATTTTTGCAGTACTCTAATTAGCAAATAATTGTTTAGGTAACGGGCAGCAACAAGGGCATTGGTTTTGCCATTGTCAAAGATCTCTGTCAACAGTATGACGGAAATGTTTATTTAACGGCTCGCGACGTCACTCGCGGCCAAAATGCTGTCAGCGAGCTGAAGAAGCAAGGTTTGCAACCCAAGTTCCATCAATTGGATGTCAATGACGATGAAAGTGTTACAAAGTTTCGAGATTACTTGAAGAACACATACGGTGGTCTGGATGTACTCGTTAATAATGCTGCTATAGCTTTCAAAGTAATTAAATATAACATTAATTTGTAATTTTGACATTTTTGACATTTTATAGAAAACATTTAATACATATTTAAAAATTTTAGTCTGCTGCTACAGAACCTTTTGCGGTCCAAGCTGAAGAAACAGTACGAGTAAACTATTTCAGCTTGCGCAGAGTATGCGACGCGCTTTATCCATTGCTTAGACCACACGCTCGAGTGGTACATGTCTCTAGCAGCGCTGGTCGCCTTTGCAATATTACTGGCAAAGCATTAAAGCAGAAACTATCTGATCCAAATCTAACTGAAGCAGAATTGGACGAAATAATGCGTGACTTTGTCAAGTAAGCTATATAATTTTGAACATTGAATTCATTGTATACCAAGTTTGAAAGGTCTTTTAAAATCTATATTCATATATTTCCAGTTCTGCAAAATCTGGCACACATGTAAAAGCCGGTTGGTCAAATTCAGCATACGAGGCGAGTAAAATTGGTGTATCCGCTTTAGCTGGTATTCATCAATCAACATTTAATACAGATCCTCGAAAAGATATTGCAGTGAATGCAGTACATCCTGGTTATGTAGATACAGACATGACTAGCCATAAGGGACCTCTGACACCAGAGCAAGGAGCTATAGCACCTGTTTATTGTGCTCTGTTGCCGGAGGACACAGAGATAAAGGGAAAATACATCTGGTTTGATAAGACATTATCCGAATGGAAATAACAAGTATAATACATGATATAATCATTCCTACAAAGTATAACATAGACATTAAGGTAGTAATTATGCTTATTACACTAACACACTATGATAAAAAAAAAAAGAGGATTATAAAGAACACAAAACAAATGTAAAATAATTTTGTTACAAATCTATTATTTTGGAATAAAGATTTATGCATTAATACATCATTGTATTTTCCAGAAAACTTGTAAATTATGCAAAACTTAGATATATTATTTTTATTTTTACATCAAATGTAGGATGTATACAATAACAAAAAAGAAAAAGGAGATTATTGATATCAAGAATACATTTAATATAATTATAAACTATCTTGTTTGAGCATTCATTGCTTCTCTGCGCGCTGCTTCGGTTAAAAGATGAATGTCAACTTCATCTACTGGAAGTTGTACATATCGTACCACAGATCCTCTGATAAAGCAATTTTTTACTGATAACTGTAATTTGATTTGATTAATTAAATTTTACTTAGATATATTTACAACTTTAATAATTATATTTCCACAATTGGTCAGTTTTATACATACCATGTGAGGATACTTCTCTGAATCTGTTACACTAATATCTGCCAGTTTTATATTCAAATACTGATCGACAGAATATAACGTGCCACAAATACTAAAACAAAATATAGACAACACTGAAATATTGTCACTTGAAACTTTACTTTATAATTGCGCAATGTCTTACCTTAGGTCATTTTTTAATTCAACGACCACGTCCTTTCCGATTAAAGACTTGAAGAAGGAATAAAATAGCTAAAATTAAAGATATGTTTGTTTAATGAAAACAATACTAGAATCCGAATATACATTCCGTTATATATTTTCTATCGCGCAACATTTTACATTGCAACTTACCATGTTTAATTTATTGAGATTACCAAAGTCGTATATTCTGTATTGTTTGCTAAAATAAAATAATTTACAATGATAAATACGTTTAATAAATATCAGCGGCAAAATTATAACCTACAATCAAATCACGTAGCATCAAAATTGACGGCTTGTCACGACAACACATGGAATAAAATGTACATAGATTGGAAACCATTTTACATCATTTTCATTAAAGTCTATCCAGCCAACTCGCACAGCGGGCATAGCCGCGTGTAATGCATATTCAGAAAAATCAATTATTTAAATAAAAAACAATACGATATCTTTTATATTAAATATTGAATTTTACATATTAATTAATTTCTTCATACGAAAATGGTACCAAAAGCCGAGTTAGATAGTAGAAAAGATTTATACATGCAACTTGAAATATTTGACATAAATATTATAAATAAATGTAATAAATAAAATTCTTTAAAATATATATTTTTCAATTGTATATTTTTAATATAAAATATGCTGTATAAAATTTTTACACCGTATCTGCATCATGTACTTGTCATTGATGTTTCTGCTACAACTTGTAGAACTTTGGACCTTGTCGTCATCGCATGATTGCAAGGCACTGTTTTTTTTAGTTTAATAATATACATCTTGAAAACACGAGTAAAAATCAAAAATTTCTGTAACAATGTTTTCTACCTGCATCAGAACATTACGGACTGCTAGTAAAGTAAGCATGTTTTTTCGAATTTATTCAAATTTTCACTTGTTTTATTGTTTGAATTTATATTATTTGCATCTTTCATTTTAATGATTACCTTGATTGACCTTAATTTTGTTTTAATTTTGATAGCTAATATTTCCTATTAATTTTTACGAAAAGCATAAAATTAATTATTATACTTGTCCAATTAGCTTCAATTAACTATATTGTAAAAATACTGAAAGTTTTATGGTTATCTTTTAAAAAAAATTTTTCTTTTATAAAATTTTCAATTTTTCCTCGAAATTTTATCCGAAATTTAGGATATAAAATAATTCAAACATGTCATTTGTTTTCAGTTTGGCCCATTGGCTCGTTATGAGTCTACTTTAGTCATTGCAGAACATAATAATGAAAGTTTGCTACCGATTACCAGCAATACATTAACAGCTGCTAAGAAAATCGGTGGCGATGTAACTGTCTTAGTCGCTGGCACAAAATGTGAGGCAGTTGCACAAAGTGTATGCAAAGCCAAGGGGGTTTCCAAGGTTCTCCTCGCAGACAGTGATGCGTTTAAAGGATTTACTGCAGAATCATTGACACCACTTATACTTAAGCTATGCAATGACCATAAATTCACACATATATTAGCTGGTGCGAGCGCATTTGGCAAAGCATTGCTTCCCAGGGTTAGTATAATTTGTTTTTCTTAAGAAGTTCATATATATCTATATTTCATATATTAATTCATGTAAATTTACAATTTGATTTGTAATTTAAGGTTGCAGCTAAATTAGATGTATCTCCAGTAAGTGATATTATTGGCATCAAAGCATCGGACACTTTTGTACGCACTATATACGCTGGTAATGCTATTCAAACCCTCAAGTCTAAAGATAATGTCAAAGTAGTATCTGTAAGAGGCACCTCTTTCGAGCAACTACCACTGGAAGGTGGTGATGCCAAATGTGAAAATGTTCCCGCTGGTGACATCTCAAGTCAAGTGCAATATATTAAACAGGAACTCAGCAAATCCGACAGACCAGAATTGACATCTGCTAAGGTCGTGATCTCTGGCGGACGTGGAATGAAATCCGGAGATAATTTCAAATTATTGTATACACTGGCAGATAAGTTCAATGCGGCAGTAGGAGCATCCCGTGCTGCGGTTGATGCAGGATTTGTGCCAAATGATTTGCAAGTAGGACAAACTGGAAAAATTGTTGCTCCTGTAAGTAAAATTAATTATTGAACAAAAATTTTCCATACATGTGCAATAATCCTTGAATTGGGATTTCAGAATCTGTATATAGCAGTTGGAATTTCGGGTGCAATTCAACATCTTGCTGGTATGAAGGATTCCAAGACAATTGTGGCTATTAACAAGGATCCAGAGGCTCCCATCTTTCAAGTGGCGGATTATGGATTGGTGGCAGATTTATTTAAAGCTGTACCAGAACTTACAGAAAAATTATAAATTCTATATTGTTCATATCGAAAAATTTCTATTTTACAAAGCTTTACAAAGATATGTTTATATTTCATATAATTAATTGTACATGCTGATAATGCATCACATGGCATCATGATGTAACAAACTGTATCATATAACAGGAAATATGATATAATTAAATTTTTTATAATTTATCAAAAATTTCAACTTATTATTTCCTACCATTTTAATGTTACAATTTGTTTAATATTAATAATGTAATACAAACTTTGTATAAATGTTAATAGTTAAGAAAATAAATAATGTTAATAGTTTATAGACTAAAAAAATTAATTTTTATTTAGATTAAATTTTTAATTCTATATCCGTTATGTCATGATATTATAAATTGAAATCCTGTATTTAAAGGTTGCACATTTATTACGATACCGTATCGAGGTTAGTGTGGGTTAGTGTAGTATGATAAGTGATGTGAACACACTTGTTCTCTCTTATGTGTATTGACAAAAATTAATTTATTTTAAAACAAATTACAATTGACATCACATTATATGCATTGGATAAATTCGCAAATTGATAATTTTCTCTAAAAAAATACTTTTCTACAAGTACATATCTGGTATAGTTACATTTATAGAAGAGTAAATTCATGATTAGGTTATGTTGTATAAAAACATCCACTATATAAAATTTATGTTATTTGTGACTATATAAAATTGTTTATTAAGAAATCTCATTTAGAACTTGTTGTACTTTGCTAAACAAATTATATACTGTAAGTATTTTCTCATTATATGATGTATTTTTATCTCATTCTAGAGATTAATATGTGTAATTTATGTTTTCAGAAGATGCAGAGTATTCGTCAATGTGTAAAACATCTAGCATTGTATGGTAGAGCTGCTGTAAATAAGACAGATACATTATCAAGTGCAGCAAAAACATTGAATCTTATACCAACATACAGTTTTCATTCATCAACATGTTTGTCTGCTACAAATTTGTCAAAGTACAGAACACCAATAACTTTTCTTAAACATAATAAGACCATATTTCCACCTCAAAAGCCAGGCGAAGAAAAAAGACCTGCTGTAAGTTGTATTATGTATAAATTTGAAATTGGTTATTGATTACACATGTATATTTTTTTTTCAGTATGTATGTCACATGAAGGCAAATATAAAATACAGTCCTAAAAAGATGTGGTACATTGCATGTTTTGTACGAGGAATGTCTGTAGATGAGGCTGTAAAACAGTTAAGTTTTTTACATAGAAAAGGTGCTGAGATTGCAAAAGAAGTTATATTAGAAGCTCAACGCATGGCTGTAGAAAATCACCATGTTGAATTTAAAAGTAACTTGTGGGTTGGTAAGTATATACATATGGCAATTTAATTATGTATATTTGTGCACATATTACGTCTTTTAATAATTTCAATAATATCAAATAAATAACTTACAGCGGAATCATTCAGTTCAAAAGGTGTAACAATTGATAGTGTACGACGTCATGCTAGACGTCGCACAGGAATTATTCATTATAGATATTGCCACTATTTTGTACGCTTAGAGGAAGGACCACCACCAAAATACTATTATCTGCCATATCCCAAGACTGGCGAAGAATTATTAGACGATTGGATGAAGAAAATGCATATGCGCAAAGTACCGAATTCATTGTAATATTATAAATATGAAAAAAACTACATAATATGTCAAATATATGTATAGAAACTGTACACCATTTTTACTTTAACAGTTTAATTTTATTTTCACTGTCAGAATGTTGGATATATTACAGATATCCAGTTTCCTTAAAATACATAAGGAAATGTGTCTGCAATTAGTTTTAGATTGTACACTGTTGATATAATGCTAATGTGAAGTTGTATTAATAGACATGATTTACAACTTCAACTTAGTTCTCCTCCAGTGACGTCTCTTGGCATTGTATCTGAAAAGAAATAATATGTGAGAAACTACAGTTTACAAACTCCTAATATTTGTCAAAGCAGTAAAGATCAATAGTAAATTTTATAATTTTGAATATATGAAAACAAAATATCAAAATATAAAAGGAATGTTTAAGAAATCAAATCCATGAAAATGTAAATCGTAATCATTCTTTTATCAAAAATTATAATCTTTTTAATAAAAATTCTTTTATTTTTTTACTTTTCTTATTTTTATATATTTCGATATACATCGATGAACATTACACAATCATGTGAAATCATAAAACAAACGAATGTTTACAAAAATGGAATTAAAACTCGTGCATATTACATATCAACCAAAATGATTTCTTAGGTTATGTTGGATTACGTGAAAGCTTACAAGATGAATTAATTGAAATTGAAGTAATTAAATTTCAACTTACCGGATGGTATTACCGGTCCGCATTCTCACCCATTGTGGAATCGGTCTGTTTTGCTTCAGCTTTTTGGCAAGCTTTCGCTTGATAATGAACGTCTTGTGCGCCGACTGAAAAACATACGGAATGAGATAAACATTTGTACATTTGATTCCTAAATGTGTTCAAGTGCAAAATACTAAGATGACAACGAAATAAACAGATAAATCACAAAGGAACGCAAGACTTACCATCGCGCTTCTCTAGCAACACGTGAAGTGAAAGAGATTAACACAAAACGCGGTTAAAATATTTCTAGAAGAACGTCCGACGACTTTCCTGTGTGCGTCCGTTTTAAAATGGCTTCTCTTCAAGCAACGTTTCTCGCGGATAATTTTCATGGTGTACATTTTTCAACCAATAGAGCGGAATATTTATGAAGATGCGGCTTAAGACCAAGTCTTTGAAAAGTCCCTATTCGATCGCCAATCCGCATTCAACAAGTACGACATTCCTGTCTCGTAGTGTTAATGGCGCTCGTATCCTTCGCATCTGCACTCGTGTACACCGATCACTCAGCTGTCGTCACGACAGACAGTACGTGACGTAATTGAATTACTACGGTGGAGTGTTAGTCAAATTCGCATTCTGCGATTTATTTACCATTTCGCCTCGTCACTGTGATTCAATAGAACGAGTAACTCGGCTCTCATCGACGTGGAAGATGGACAGCAATAAGGACGAGGCGGAGCGATGCATGGAACTCGCGGAACGGTATATGCGCGAGAGGAAATACGAGGAGGCAGAAAAGTTTGCTCGTAAAGCCCAAAAACTTTTCCCGATGAAAAAGGCTGATGGTACGTGCACCTGCAATTTTCACGGCGGTGGACCAACGTTTTCTAGTCGAATAACGTTGCGTCAACGCGTCACTTTTTGTTCTGCATTATGCATGTCATACTGTGCCTGTTAAATTGTTAACTTTTTTGTTTTCTACATATTTAAATACTTAGAACAAATATATTTGTTTATCTTGTTACGAAAGTGGCTTGTGGTAAACTTTTCTTTTTTTGTCAGAGTAAGCAGAGTGTTTAATAATTATATTTATAGACCTAATAACGGAAGTATCACTGCTTTCAAAGCAGAATCAAAAATCTGAGCCTGCTGAGCCTACTGTTAGAAAACGCCAAAATGTAACTAAAGATTCAACAACACATTCCCAAACCAATTCTGAATATACAAAAGAACAATTGGAGCATGTGAAAAGGTGGATACCTAAGATTGTTTTAATAGGACAGAATTGTTTTAACAATTCAAACAAATGCAATATTTATGCAACATATATATTTGTTTATATCACGTTTGTTTTGTAGGATAAAGAAGTGCAAAGATTATTATGAGATTTTAGGAGTCAACAAAGATGCTACAGACAGTGATATTAAAAAAGCATATAAAAAATTAGCTCTACAGTTACATCCTGACAAAAATAAAGCACCAGGTGCTGCTGAGGCTTTTAAAGGTAAGTTAAGATGTGTGTGAAAAAGAGGTAGAGTTATTTACAAGTACATTTGGAATTTACATTAACAAAAATTTGTTTTTTATTTAGCTATTGGTAATGCTGTTGCTATCTTGACTGATATGGAAAAACGGAAACAATATGATATGTATGGTCCTGAAGAGGAACGAATGCAGAATGTACATAGCCGCCAAGGCCATACACATTATAATTACACTCGCGGATTTGAAGGTAAGAAAGTTGAGAAAAGAGACGTATGTCAATTAGGAAATTATTGTGCGAGTATTGAAAGATGATAATTAAAATATCTTTCTTTTAGCTGACATCACAGCTGAAGAGTTATTCAACATGTTCTTTGGCGTAAGTTTTGCGCAACAAGAATTTTATATGCGCCGGCCAGGCGGTAGATGGTCAAACGGAGTAAGACAGCAAGATGCGCAACATTCTCATTCTCAGGTAGAATAGAATGGCACTGACATTGTTAACAATTTTTAAGTGATATTTTTTTAATTGCATAATTTATAACATTTTTCAGCAAGCAAATGGGTATACCACATTTTTCCAGATGTTACCCGTTCTGTTACTAATATTATTAACTATGATGAGTAGTTTTTTCATATCTGATCCAGTATATAGCCTGCATTCAAATTCGTAAGTATAGTTCACGACATTGAAAAGTGTGCTTGAAGATCTTTATAAGAGATACATAATTTTCTTTTTGTCTGCAGGAAATATTCTGTGGCCAGAACGACTCAGGTCTTGAAAATACCGTATTATGTTAAAGAGAACTTTCATAGTGAATATCAAGGCAGTTTACGTAGACTAGAAATTTCAATTGAGGAAGAATTTGTGAATAGCTTGAGGCAAACCTGCGTCAGAGAAAAGAATTATAGTATGTAAAACACGCTATTTCTTTTTTTCCCTTCGGTGTATCTAACATATTTTTTATTAACACTTGTTACATAGTTTGCTTTTTGTAAACATTTTGGAGATATGTTAAATTTGTTTTCTTTTATGCGAACAGGGGACAGTATGATGTGGAAAGCCCGTAATTTTGGAGATCAAGATCTATTCTTAAAAGCTAAAAATCTCGAAACACCTTCGTGTAGGAGGCTACAAGAAATGCAAGTCTGATAGGTGAAACATGTAAACTAAATAGAACTTTGTTGTAGATAGATGTATATTTACACACGTACATAACATTTGTAATGAGACGAGAATTTGGCACAATATGTGATTACATATATCATATTTCTGAGAGTACATCCAAAGCAAATCATATATTTCAAAGTTTGCAGAGAACACATACGTACTTTGACTACTTTAACTGGTTATGCCATAAATTGCATGTTGAATGACCGATTACTATGCAGAGTGAATGAAATTTTAAACTTCTGTCTTATCTGACTCGATTAAAATTGTACAAAAATTATTTTCTGCTTTCATAGTTTCTATGTTTGTAAACAGTTATACATACATATATATATATTTACTATATGTTATATCTTTTAAAAATTGTTTAAACATTTATATAAAGAAAGTAATGTAATACACGTGATGCTCTTTCAACTCTTCATATAAGCTATGATATTGTGCAATGTTATTAGAATGACAGCCATTTTGAATACTCATTATTTATAATAAACAATATGAAAGCCTAGTACTTGTAAGTACGTAGATAATTTAAAAGGAATGAATATATCACGTAATTTTAAAGGTTTACAGGTTATATTTATTTCATGATATCTTCAATTCTAACTGGAAAATTATAAGTGCATCTACAATGACAATTTGTATTTTACACTTGGAGTGTTATTATTCTGCACAGACATCTATTTAGTATATGTGTTTCTGGCTATTTTGGAAAATATATAAATTCTTAATTGAGTATATAAGATAGAGGAAAAGAGGAGGTTGCAATTTGATATAATTATGATACAATATTATCAATTATTATTATATATTGTAATATTTATATTATTATATTTATAATATAATAATTATAGTATATAGATATTATTTAGATACTTCAAATTTGTATTCAATGAGTTATTTTCTAAAATTTCTCGTCTCGATATTTAGTTTTAATTGTACATTTCAATTACAAACAAGTATCAAATTTAAATCATATTTTAGATACAAATTGTGTATATATATATATTATGTCGAATTGTGGCTATTCTCACTTGAATTAATTAATTTAATGTTTGTTTTATCACCATAAAAAATGTGAAGGATATGCTGACATATTGGATTGTTCAAATTGTTTGCCACAGTTTTATTGTATAAAATTCCACAAAAATTTAGTATTTGTTTCTAGCAAATTTTAATTATATTTTAAATATATTTTTGAAATTGATAAAAGAGAATTTTTTTCTCTGATACGTATGTAAAAGTTTATGCAAGTTACTACTTGGATAAACTTTATTTTTATCTTTATTCCATTATAATTTCCCAATATTTTCTAATATAAATAATTAAAATTATTTATAAAAAAGTTAATTTACTCATTTCATCGTAAAAGAATGTGAAAAATTATTTTTATTGTAATTATTACTGTACTGTTAATTATTACTATACATTTCCTATTATAAATCGTCAAGATGATCGAATCATAATTAAAACTGGAGAGTTTCAAAAATGTGCTGTTCCAAAATAATCAAATAGTATTAAATCTTTATTAATGCGATTGTTCAATAATAATAGCGTGCGTTTTAGGGTATAATCGCAATTTATGGAATTTGCTATATAAATGTTTAGGATTATTAATATACAATCGTTTTCAGCATGGACGTGTTTATAATACAAATATAAATTATGTTCAAAGTGTCCATGTTCTTTCTAGTTTATTGCTTTAATTAATAAAATATTGTTTAAAAACTATAAATATGATTAAAATATTTAACAATATAACTTTATTATTTATTTTTTCCATAACCCTGCATACACATCTTTTGTCTTTTAGAAGAAAAAATGTTTTCACGAAAAGAAGTGATTACCCGACAAAAACAGTTACGTCACATCCGTGTCGAATCCACGTAATTTACGTAGACTACGTGGATGTGGATTTCTCCACGAATTATTCATACGGATGCAACGTTCTTTTTTTCATTACTACATCGAAGTACTTTAATCTCGAAATGTCAATGTAGATTTCATGTGGAAATTTCTACTAAAGATAATGATTGATCAATCGAGGTATATCGTTGCGTTTATCGCAGTGTGATTTTTAATGGATAATCAATTTATGAATATTTTGATTTTTGTATATACTGCAGGTGCAGGTGAGGTAAACTTGTATTGAACAAGACAATATTATTCTATACCCAGTGAAAAATACAGCTTGAAAAAAAGTCTGATAGACATCTTATAGACGGCTATAAGCGTTTATTAGATAAATAATAAAACAACGTTTATTATTCACTCGAATATCCATATGGATTCCACGATGCTGATCCACATGGCAATAACGTGGATTTCACGTACTGTTTTTGTCAAGTAGTAGATCATTTCTTATCTTTGATAAGCTCACGATATTAAGAGAATACATTTCGATGAGTAAACTATAAAGAAAGTTGTGTATTCAAGCCGACTCTCTCTCTCTCTACTTACTCTAATTTCAATTTTTGAACTCTAATAAGACATCTTTAGGACGTCTTAAAAACGCCCTAAAAATAACATTTTTAGGAGGTCCTAGAAACGTTCTAAATAAGACATCTTTAAGACATCCTAAAAAAGACATCGTTTTTTAATTTCTTTAATAATTGGCATTTTAAATTTTGCAACAAAAAACTTTCCAAAAATTTTAAAAGAGACGTTTTAATTATTTAAGTATTTTACGAGCAACCTAACACTGTCAAAAGTAGCCTAGAAATGAAAATAAACATGTAGAAAAATTGAGATATCCGCTGAAACGGCCAAAAATGCTCCATAGCCGGGATTTAAAAAAATTATTAACAGGAGCACATGAGATACAGGAGCTCCACTCGAATCAGTGCCATTTATTGATTAGCTAAAACAACATAACGACTGCACATGATGATAAGTGTACCGACAACATAACGACTGCACTATTGAGTGAGCTCCTACATCATCATGTGCTCCTGTTAACAATTACTTAAAATCCCGGCTAAAATGAAGCATTTCTGGCCGTTAAGAAAGGAGACAGAAATAGTACGTCTGCTCTTTTCTAGTGTCCGAGAAACTTGCCAAAGCGCGGAGCTCACGTGTACATACGTGGCTTGCGCATGTGTGCGGTATTTTCTCTCTTTGCTGCTTGCATTTCAAATCTGACCTCACTGACTCCGAATCGACTCTGATCCGCCGGTTTGGTATTGGTTTTGTTCTGTTTTGTTCGAGGCACAGGTAAACATGTCACCGTTACGCAATTCCAGCGGCGATTCTGGTAAGTAATGTCAATGTATTTATATCTTTATTATTCTTCTCGAAATTGCAATTTTATAAAAGTACTGAAAATACAATAAATACATATGACTTTTATTAAAACAACAGTAATGTCATATTTGAGGTTATATTTTGAGACAACAAGTAGTATTCTATTTTCATATTATCTCATATTATCCCGCGGTATTGTTTTCAGGTTCGGAATCTGATAATGCCTCTGCATCTTCGAGATCGAGTCGCAGTGGTAGCCGAGCGTCGCAAGCTCCGGTACGAACTTCGAGCAATGCCAGAAGTGAACACTCGGAGGACGAAAACGAGGCGCCGGCTTCACCTGTCGGTTCGGCATCTAACGCTAGCGGCAGCCGCGCTTCGAGATCTACCAGCCAAACGGTCGAGTCAAACAAATTGGATGGCAGTCGCAAGTCAGGAAGCCCATCATCGCCAGTCGGGTCTGGGTCCAGACGTTCCAGCGTAGGCTCTGTTCAGAGCGAGAAGTCTGGTTCTTCGAGGTCCAGGAGCGGCAGTCCGAAGTCAGTGGCGTCCAACAGTTCGATAGACTCTCAAAAATCTCCCAGATCGCGTTCGCAATCTCCGCATGGGAGCGTACGTTCCTCGAGTCCAAAATCGCCTGTCAGTTCGAGATCTGCACATTCCGAAGCTAGAGAAAGGAAATCCAAGACTCCTGCTTCACCAGCCTCCAATGCTTCCGGTTACGATTCTCCAAAAAGTCGTAGATCTAGGAGCGTTTCGTCTCAAAGAAGCAATAAGTCAGCAGGTTCCGCAAGTCCAGCGGAAAGAAGATCAAATTCTTCCACGCCTTCGAGAAAATTCGACAAATCGGCAGAAAGATCAGGTTCTGAAAAGTCTGACGATAAAAGGTCGGGATCCAAAAGTCCTAAAAATGATAAAAGCGACAATGAATCAAACAAATCCTTCAAACAGACAGGTTTGTGTTATTGTGATATTTATATCCATTTGTAGTTCACACAATTGTGGTATCTCAAGCTTTCCAATAAGTTAAAGATTACACTTGCACTAATATTAACACTAAACTTTCTTTATGCGCAGATAACAATCAGAGTTCAAAATCCGACGAAAGCGACGAAGAGGAAATGAAACCTAAACGACGAGACAGCGGTTCCGGTTCAGATCCAGAAAAACCAGTTAAACGATCTAAAGCGATAATAAATTCAGATTCCGAGAATGAGACGGGAGACAAAGAGAATAGTGTTGCTCCAACCGCGGATGCATTGTTCGGCGATGCGAGTGACATTAGCACAGATGATGAAAAGGAGAAGAAGGAAGAAGGAAAGGAAAAAGAACGGAGTCGTAGTCGGAGCAGAAGTAAAAGCAAAAGTAGAAGCAGAAGTCATAGCAGAAGTAGAAGCAGAAGTCGTAGCAGAAGTCGAAGTCGGAGTCACAGTCAAGGTAGATCCGAGAGCGGTGGTGAAGGACCAAGTCATCGAACTATTATCGAGGATGTAAGTTCATTAGATGAGAAGTGAATAATCTTTACGTTCCTTCGTAATGCATTTTTCGAATGCCACTTATTTTTAATGACAAAAGATGGATATGGATATTTTCACGATATTCTCTCTTTGTAGGAGGAAGATAAAGATAAGGAAGAAGAACCAGAGCCACCACCAGAAACTAGAATTGACGTGGAAATTCCAAAAATTACGACCGATCTCGGACGCGAAATTCATTTCGTGAAGTTGCCGAATTTTTTGTCCGTTGAAACGAGACCGTTCGATCATGAGACCTACGAGGATGAAATTGATGAGGAAGAAACTCTGGATGAGGAAGGTCGAGCGCGACTGAAGCTCAAGGTTGAAAATACACTGAGGTGGAAAGAAACGTTTAACAACGAGGGCAAAGTGGCGAAAGAGAGTAACGCGAGATTCGTCAAGTGGTCGGACGGTAGCATGTCGTTGCATTTGGGTTCGGAAATTTTCGACGTGTACAAACAGCCTTTACAGGGCGATCACAATCACCTCTACATTCGCCAAGGCACCGGTCTGCAAGGCCAAGCAGTGTTCAGAACGAAATTAACTTTCCGACCGCACTCCACCGAATCGTTTACGCACAGAAAGATGACTATGTCTCTGGCCGACAGATCGCAAAAGACTTCTGGCATTAAAGTTCTTTCTCAAGTGGGAATGAATCCGGATCAAAACAGATACGAGATGATAAAGGTATTGTAACTATTGCGTTTATATATATAATGTTATAAATTCATTTCTATACTTATATTAACAGATGTATATCATTATCTTTTTACTTTTTTTTCTAGAAAGAAGAAGAAAAGCTACGTATGGCTATGCGAGTACAAAATAAAACGAAGAAGAGTACTGGCGGCACCAGGAACACCAGCCGTGCCATGGGAGCATACAGCGGTGATGCTTATCACGATGATGGCTCTGATGACGAGGGTGCAATTTCGTTGGCAGCAATAAAAAATAAATATAAAAAAGGCGCAGCGATTCCTTCTAAAGGTTAGATAATAATATATTCGATTTACTATATTGAAATATATATATAACTAGAAAGTTTTTGTTGGTTTTATAGTTTACATAAAATTAATTTATCACGTCCATGAGAAAAGAATGTAATATTCGAAAAATACTGTGTTGCAGCTTCGAACATTTATTCTTCAGACGAGGAAGGATCGGACATTGAAACGCATAGACCTAAAAAGAACACTAAAGGAAAAGTACTTAAAGATTCAGATGAAGAATCCAACTCTGAAAGTTCTGCCGGAAGCGGCGGAGACGATAATCAAGCAGATGATGCAAGTGATTGAAATGTATACATATTGTATAGTAAATAATCTTTTTATAAGTAAATTAAGTGAATAAACGTCTTAGTAAAACAAGTGTTTAAGTGAATAAACGTCTTAGTAAAACAACTATTTTGTATCTATTTGTTGCAAATATAAAGTTCAATATAGATCATATTTGATTTGTGTACATAGAATAGTAAATTTTATATATTCAAAAAAATTAATAGTAATAGATAAATAGTTTAACATGTAAAATCAAAATAAAATCGAGAAAACTCTTAGGAAATCAAATAGGAAGGAAAATGAGCCAACGCAAAAAGTGCGAATAATAACAGCGTATATCTTAGAAGAAATGTTTATATAATATTCATATTAAACTTTTCGATCTTTCGATTAGATTTGCAACCATATTATTCAATTTTGCATATTTTATAATTATAAAATACATGCATCGAAAATATTATTTCAGACCTAATAAATGAATAAAGTAACGTTTGTATAATTAAAAAATAATAAAATAAATACTTCATTTTGCACGTCGGTTGTTAGTCAATCCATCGATTATTTTTAATATACCTCTAATTTTGAAGGGAAAAATATTAAAAATTTTATTTTATTAGATAAACGATTTTTTTTTTAAACATTACTGTATCTTTGATCTACACAAGTCATTTTCATGACAAGAGTTATAAAATAATAAAATACATGCGCGTAAGTTTGAAAATATGTAATGGTGTCTTATATTTTAGTAACATTTTATATCTACCGTACAATATATAACAAAATGAATTTTACTCAAACTCCAACGGAATTCGTAAGTTTAGTCACAAGACAACGAGAGATTGTGTTACGAAATAAATTGCGTGAATAAGCAGAATGCTTTTGAGAACCTTGTGTATTCGACCATCGACATATCGTCAAATTCTATTGTGCTGAAAATTTTGTTACGATATTCACTTGCAAAGTTACTACATTATACTTCTGACGACATAGTCATTAAAAATATGCCCATAAAAATAAACCGCTTTAATCTTGTGGACATAGCGTAGTGCAATATACTTTTGACACAAAATGTAATATTCTTGATTGTTATACTGACTCTATGCGCGTTATAAATACTAAATATTTCCGCGTTGAAATAATCAGTATTTCTTATTGACGGAAATCAATACCTTCGTAGGATTCACCGATGCAAACCAGATGGCCGATCTGACTAGACTACGGTCTTAAAGTGCTAATCCTCTCGCTGATATTCTATAGAAGCGCTCGGTCAGGTCACTCTACGTGTCGGCCTCATTGCATATATATTACAGTTTATAAATTCTAATTTAAACTAGGATTTCGTCCTATGTCCCACTGGATCTCAATCCTTGGCCATTTTGTTTGCAAAACTGTCAGCATGGGATTGCTATCCATGATACACTTCACAGTGCATTCAAGCAATACTGCTTGTCCCTTGTGATATTTTACTCTATTTTCTGGATTGCTACGTTGCAAGCCGTTGTAGTGATATAAGACAAATGTGTCTGGGCACATGCATGGTTCCTCGGGAAAGAACTCATCCATAAACGATGCGAGAAGTATTATTCCTAAATTTTCACCGTCCAGTTTTTTCCTCATGATATCGACACTACAAAAACATTATTTTTTTTTTTTACATAAAACTAAGAATATTTTCACAATTAAATAGATTGAATGGTTTGTTTTATTGCAAATAATTTCATACGCCTAATGCAGCGTCGAATGTATGATATATGAATAAAAGAAAATGGACACGTACTATTCTGCATCAGCTACTAGTCCTAATTCTGCCAGCACATCCTGCAGTAAATTTGCCGAGATAAAGTTATTTCCATCCGGATCGAAGCGTTTGAAAATTCTTTGTGCTTGTTCCGCCGGCGTCTCTGGACTCACTAATTTTTTTTCCGTAGAGAAGAGTACGGTTAAATGCGTTTCCGATCCCAACACCCAAATTGGATGTGACGGTGACTTTAAAAATACTCCCACTTCGCAATATCGTAAATACTCTAGCAAAGCTAGAAATCCTACTGTGTTTTGTTTGTTTATACCACTTAATTCTGCAAAATATATAAATTGATGCGTTAAAAAGTAATTTATTGCATACATTTTAAGATATATATACATTAAAATAATGTCAAATTTGAAGAAAAACAATAGTTGTCTTACTTAATCCACCAACATCTTGATCATGATCCCAGACATGACCAACTGCTCGCCCAGTAAGCATTAAATTTATTAAACTTTGACTCCCGTATCCGTAGGTAGAATCGATCATGGGTTCTGCAGGGTCTGACATTTCGAAACGTACCTCTGAAACTCCTTTTGTACACATAACTGTATAAAGTAGCAACAATATCCCGTACTGATCTTTTAACATTCCAATTCGTTCTGTAAAGAAATCTTCCACATCGTCGATGCTACTTGTAGTAAATATCCTGAAATAATAAGTAATTAATGATAAAATATTGAAAAATTAAATCTAGTTTGTCCATCAGTTTCACCAAAGGTATATATTTTTGCATGAACATACCTCAATTGAGAATGAAAAACATCCGATTCTAATGATGATTGTTTTGTAACTTGTGTTTCACTAACTCGACTACTTTCGCTGGTATCTTGCGCTGAATTTATCGCGGGCTCTGTTGACTTGGAGCCTTCTTTACTAGAAGCAAAGCCATTGGAATCATTGGCATGCACTACTGAATACTTAGGATCCTGAACATCGGCGGCTTGATTAATAATTTCAGTCATAGCTTTTACAAGTAATTGATCACATTTTTCAGCCTTGATAGCCTTCCAAGTTATGACATCGCTCTCTAATAATAACTGTTTCAAAATAAATGCTTGAACTGGAGCTATCACCGCACAAGGCCCTCCTTCTCTCTGTACAAGTGCAGTAGGTTCGTCTATACTGAAGTAAAAGCCTAAAACAACATAATTATATAACAGCACTATTAAAAAATGTGAATAATAAGTTTATAATCTTTCGTTATCATCTCCCACAATTCTATAACACAACTTTTTATATTTGTTGTATGTTATGTAAGGCACATGCATTTCTTCCAAACTCGACATTAAACCGCCTTAAGTCATTCGATTCCACAGCGTTGTTAAACAAAAACCTTCATGCATTCACAAAAGATAAATTTTTAAGCCGTCGTTAATGAAAATAATCACGATTGTCATTGCTGATCGGTCATCGCACCGGCGCGACAATAATTACGAAGTACAGCTTTACATGACTTTTATCTACAAAACTGCAATTACTATAGATGATGACTCCATTACCTTGCGCCCATCGCTTAAAAACGTCCTCCTTGACGGTCGAACCCCAGAGAAGCTTCTTAATATCTTTCAGGAGCTCGTCGTCACTTGTGATGACATTTTCGGCCATTATCTACCGGATGCGCTCGATGTACGGGAGATTAAAACGCGCCGTGTACACGAATCTTATCTCAAGCCGATCATAATACCTTTCAACACTATTAGTTTCTCGCTGAATCTCATAGAATTATCGGTCGCATATAGGCACCACCCGTTAACCTATTTTGTACAACAGACAACTGCCAAGTACGCCGCCATTTTGCATCGTTACCCTTTTATATGACATGCGCTGAAAAATAAATTTGCGCGTACTTGTCGATACAGTAAACAACGTGTTCTAATATTTTATTAGAAGCAATTAGAAGAAAATTATCAAAGTATTTAAACATTTTTATATCAGTGGTCGAATGATCGGTAACGTCACTGCTCTTAATTGTCCCCGGGCCCCTCTAACAGTCACGAAAATTTGCTCAACGCTTGATAATATCTCATCAGACATTCTGTAGATTTTATTTATTATTGCTCGCAATGAAGTATTCAAAGTGAAAGTAACGTTCATAAATTTGCAGAAGGCATTTCGCGATAGCTCGAAAACGCGCTTGAAATTCTGAGGAAGTAAGAAAAAAATATTCCACGGGCAAAAATAATAATACTCAGGACAACGCTCTTCTGCCTCTATTTACTTCCAAATGTACATATCTCGGAAAAGAAAACATATCTGGCTTGACGAAGACGACCTCTAACAATACGTGTGATCGATTAGCAATCGTCGAATATCTAACGAAACGTTCATTCCATGTTAAACATGCTTGCAAGACACACACAGGTACGTAATAGTCGCGCTTTTTCATTTTCCTTTAATCCGTTAAAATCAAATTCACGGTTTTGTGATATTGCAAGGTGCTAACGCGTTTTTCTAATTGTAACAGACTGTAGTTAGCGAATTGTGAAAGTTAATTTCAATTAATCGCTCCACACGAGTGGCACCGCGGCAGAATACAGGCGCAGATATGCAATGTACATTTTTCAAACGGCTTCGCACATGACCCGCCAACGTTATTTTCTCCTCGAGCACTCACTTCTACGCTAATCACGTAGGCGTAATTAGATTCCACCGGACCGGAGGGCATAATGAGTCATAATTGCTGGTAGCGCTCGCGAGTAATCGTACGTACTTTGTTACAGTTCCGAGGTCTTACGAGTGTAACGGCGAGTTCCACACGCGGAAGTGCTGTTATTGCTTTTGAAAATTTCCTTTGCATAGCAAAGTAATTACGCATTCGTAATTGAAAAGGAACACAGCTATATCCGCGTACAACGTGAATAAATGCCGAAATCTCGCTTCTTCAGTTAATCCCAGCCAAGCGTAAAGCGGAGAAGTTTAAACTCGGGACTTTAATCGTCGAGCTATTTCTTCTTCTTTCTCCTTAATGTTAAAAAAAAAACCGGAGATACTCGCGACGCGAATAATGACCTTCCGCGCAATTTTCAGGGAAGATCCATTCATGTAATTTCGCCGGTAGTTACAAAGCAATCAGAGAAAGGTATCTTTGTTATATAAGGCGGTCTCATTGTCAAGACTCGCCGTTTTGCAATTGAAGTTTCGTGAATGAACATATGTAACGTATGTGAGCCGCGGGCTAAATAATCCAATACCACGCACGCGGCACGCTCGAGGAAGCATATTAAATTACCGTCCGTTCATCAATACGCCGGTCGCAGTTACGATTTAGACGTTATTTTACGCGATCGCGTACTTCTCGTATGTATATATGATACGAAGCTTGCTCTTCAAGACACGCACGCGTGGTCCATCACAGACCGGTGAACCGCGTCGGTTCCGGCCTGCTTTCGCTTTCGTGGTGTCGAAAGAATGGAATGGAATGAGTCTTAGAATCTGCACGCGCGTACACGCTCGCGTGTGGACGAAGATGGTCATCTTCAGAGCACGGTCGTCTCAATTCCCGTCGCGAGATCGGTAACGATCGTTATTGCGCGACGTTCTGATGTGTCATTAATTTTCAAGTACTCGAGCCGATCTGAAAGTGAAATGTCGAGAACATTGAAAAACCAATGTAGGGCAGGCTTTCGGGTTAAAAATCGAAGAATTCGAAAACGGAAATTGCCAAAATATGATTATCAGCGTATATATTTCTATATAATTTAAAGCTGATATATATATTTTTTTTAAACGCTTCGACATTAATCGAGACATTATTTTTCAGCGGAAACGATTATACAGAGATATATGTGCTCTGGCGACCGTATTTTGACTCTGATCGGTCGTTTTCGAATTATTTGACAATATTGAAAGACACAAGAAAAAAGTAATCTTATAAAATATCAATGACAACTCTGTTATTCTTTTAGGTTGTGTATTTATTAGTATTAAGCTATGTTACCTTACAAGAGGCGTTTCAAATCAAACAAATACCTGGAACATTAGAGCTGTGTCAAAGAAAAACAGATACTCAAGTATCGAGAACTTTCAACTTATTAACGAGTTTGTTGTGGAACACATTTGACACATTCGACGATGAGTGGATTCGCAAACCAGAGCAAGATAGCAAGCTGGCTATTACATTCTATCATAAATTAAATTTGTCCCCGTTCTTGACGTATATTTTAAAGGACAAAGCATGGAATATTGAAGTTCGGAAGGGAATCTGGATGAAACTTATACTATCAGCTGTACAGATCAACGAGCACACAGGTAAGAGAGAAATTTTTCAAAGAGAATACAATCAATAACACAAAATATTATTTCAAAAACTTGTTCATTTTACGCAGGTGCAAGAAACATAAATGCATTTAAGATACATTGGCAGTACAGGTCATCTAAACGGAAGACGAATGACTGGGATGAATCTTGTATTTTAACTTTCGATGACAACTATGGTGGAATTCACCCAAAAAATGCATCACTCTCGAGGGATGACTTCATTCGTCAATGGCACAAAATTATGACTACCCTCAACCATATTAACACCCAGTCTTCTAAAATCGACAAACACGCTTTAAACACGCTTTTGAACAAATATTCGTCGAAGATAATCAAGAGGAAAACGGAAGATGACGTGGTAAACATGCATTCTTCGTTGGATTTGCAAGACCCTAGCAAGATCGGATTTTCATGGGAAGATTACATAAAAACTCAAATTAAATTAGTAAGGAATCTATTAAGTTCAAATTATGGCAATTTGACGTCCTTAGTCAATAACTATACATCAAGCACTTTCAGGCGCGATAAATCGATAGTCACGGTATTTTATAACACTATCTCCTTTATAGATAAATTCATGAAAAAAAATGTCTTTCTATTTAAGTACGGCCTAGAGTATTTTCTAGAGATACTAGATCTAAAGCTCACTCTTCTAGAGACCCTTTTTGAACAAGACGAAGACCAAGTAGAGCCAAGATTTCAACAAAAATAAAAAAAAGACACGACGAGACTAAGCAACAAGACAAAAATAAAAAATAAGACAAGATAAAAAACAAGACAAAAATAACAAACAAGAATATGACAAGTAGAGTTATAACCATGTAGAAGTATAGAAAAATATATATATATATAAATGTGTGTATATACGCATAGAGTGTTGTACATTGTTAGAAATTAATTTAATCGATTGTTATGTATTATTAGAAATTTATTTTACACAATTGACAGCTGCGCCACTCGTGGATGTAAGTGATGACTTTTCCATTTTTTTCATTTACGAAACAAAGTCGAGCGCGACCAAGTCGAAGATTTCTATTCTGTAGAAATCAGCGGAGATTGTTGAAATTTGACACCACTTATTCTTTCTTATGTAAAATGAAGCGAAATATAATTGTGTCACGATAAAATCTGATGTGTTGCCGATTATCCTTATATTAAACGGGTAAAGTGGTTTTGATCACGGTGTGCCGTTTGAGTTTCCTGATGCTTTCGCAAGTTTTAACGATGTTACACGCGTGTGGTGAAATTCGTACGGTGAAATTTGTCCCGGTAAATCGGGCACGGTGGAGGAGCATTGCCGAACAGGTGTCCCGCTTTATGATCAGAGATATTCGATATACTTATAACGACGTGCAAATTTCCAACGCGTCGTCGAAAATTGTTCGAGCTACGCCTCGCGCATCCAGCTCGATAGAGTTCTGCGTATCTATTACCTCCCGGAGATTAGCGGTATTCGCATACCGCAAGAGGCATATAATCCGTAAGAACACACGTAAGCTACGCGGCGGCGATGTAACGTAGAAAAACGAGATTAATCGCATTCGAGATCGCGGTGAGATTAGGCGAAAGAAGGTGGCTGCACACCGCGAGCGCGTTATATGTGTTCCGGTTTAGCGGTCGGCATTCGCGTTCGCAGTGTGAATCGCATCGTGCCGCGGTGCGCGCGCTGGGTTTTGCAATACAGCAGCAGCGTACTCGTACCGTAATTAGTTTGACTTTCACCCATCGCCGTCCAAGTGGGCGGCCGTAGCGAACCGTGGCCGATCGCCGGGCATCCAGGACCCGGCACCGGCGCGATTTTTCACGCAGATGAGCCGCCGATTTTGAAATCGATGCGTGCCGATATCGGCCAAGGGCGCGCCCGAATTCCTCGGGTGAGAATGTCTTTCTCCCCGTCGCCATTACATTATCATACGCGCATACGGATCTCCCGCGCGCGAGAGCTCTGAATCCGCAATCCGTCCGTGCCGAAACATTAATAAATAGATACTCGATAGCCCCGTCAGCCTTGAGAGAGCCGTTGAAAGTTTGGGGATTCTCCGCAGCGCACCGGGTGATTTCGAAAGAATTAGAAGCGTCTCCGAGAGAGTTTGAGAATTTTTTGAATCCTCTATCGACCGTCATTGGAGTCTAAGGGTGGGCAGCGAGAGCGGAGTGTTTGTATAATGCGACACAACGCGATTTCGACATCCCCCGAAGATTATATGAGCGCCGTTTTCACACGAAGGCGAAATCCTCCTCCTTTGCCATTTTTACACTTTTAGAGACTATTCTTTTGAAATTGCGCTACGGTGTAACGGGCGAGATCGTCCATCGGGGCCGGCAGCTCTGCGCGCGTTTTTAAGCACCCGGCCCTTCACTGCCAGCGCGATGTCCTGGATTATGACATCACACAGGCGGATAATCATATGAATAATGTGACGTAACGCGCGCGAGTAACTCGTGTCCGACAGAGAGGTAGATTTAAAATTGCCAAAGATCGGCAATTACGTCTCGCAAATTAATAGACAAACCTTGATCCATTGTTACGAGAGATCCATTTTCGCTGGGGAAAAAAAAAGGTAGGAGATAGATTGCATACGTTCAACCGTCAATAAGGAATAATTAAGGAGTGAATGTATTCCATTAATTTACATTGTCGATTTATAATGGAAAAACTAATTTATTTCATTGTATAATGCGAGAGAAACAAAACGGCCCGTCACGACTCGATGTGATTGCGATGAGCAGCTTAAGTGAAAATGGCCTGCAAATGTAGGTCTCGCCGATCCTATTATATCCGAAGACGCGACAGCGGGTGAGAGTCATCGAAGGCGGACTTGGAATCTAACCCCATACGACGGGAGGGAATCAGAAATTAAGAACTCGGCGACGATCTCTCCTAACTCTCGGCGCGTCGCGCCGGGTGAAATTCTCGTCTCCAACGGCGACTATTAAGCCGCGTAACTTTCAGCTGCGAAAAGTGTATATACAATATATTATTAATTAGGATCGCCGTCGGTATTTGCGTTTGACGTGTTGCCCCCGCTGTGCCACCGCGCGCGCTTCGTAAGACAGCGATCAATTTTCCAGCGGCTTCCGCGAAGTACAAGTATTAAGTAATCGCTTGGCGAAACATCTTATCGCGCAAGAGTGGCTTAGGATTTATTGAACGCTGATAGGCCGATTATATCGTCGGTTAATTGTTTATTAAGCCTTCATTGCTAATTTTTTTTTTTTTTTTTTTTTTCAATAACAGAAGAAAATAACTGTCAATTGTCGCGAATGGGGCAATCTCGGAGTGGCGCAATCGCCGCCGTTTTGTCCGCGGACTAAATGCACCCGCTTTTATATGTAATAATAAATGATACAGGTGCGCTAAGAGCTGCGTCATACACACACGCGTATATGTAATATTACACGGCACGGGTACGTTCACTCGCGCGTCCAGCGAGCGCGCGCACCCGTACAACAAACGAATTCATACACCCGACTCGCTCTGATACCTTCGCCCTGATACCGTCACAGATTCTTCCTCTCCTTCTGCTCCGTTGCAGCTCGCTTGTAACGCGATCGCGACGATAGCGGCCGAGAGGAAAATGAATTCCGACTCACCGAGGCGCGAACTGCCTTCTTTTCGCACTAAATCAAATCTCTCAGCGTAGCTTCCAGCGTGGCATTACCTGTCTTTCCATACAATAGTGAAAAGAAAAGGAACGGGAGGATTTTAATATCCTTTTGCGCAAAACGCATCTCTAGTTCGTCTCTCCTCTTTTTTTTTTTTTCCCTTTCCTTTTCCTTAGAGAGCAATGTCCTTCAGCTCGAGGACCACTGACCCAGATAAGACACGCATGATCGCCTTCGACGGCGAATCGTGTCTCCGTAGCTTCCGCTCGCCTGGCGCGCACGATCATGCGAGCAGGCACGGACGTCCAATAAATAACTCGCCGGTCAAGCGCCCGAGGATGAAATCAGAGTGAAATGCTGCGGCGCGCCGCGCGGCGCATATCAAAACTCTTCCGAGCGGAGCGTATTATTCACGTGCGGAGCCAATGTACAACGCGATGCGTTACGAATGCCGGTCATATCCTTCGAACATGCAATCGCGTAACTGCGACAACTACCTGCCTACCGCCAGGCGACTCGAGAATTCGAGTTCGCCGTACTCGACTGCTCTCTCGCATCTAAAACGGCGGATAATCGCGCGGCAACAAAGTAGGAAGAAAGTAACATTGGGTAACGATCTCATCCGGCAATGGTAATGGTATCCGATCGGAGATAATGAACGCCAGATCGGTTTACAGTAGCCGCTTCACTTTATCCTGGTTCCTGTTCCTCGGCGCGCTACACGTTTTACTACTTTGGCGCGTCCTCGTGGTAAATAATGAATAATTCATTAGTACTCATCGATCGAGTGTAGGTAGTTATGTCAAGAGCGGTTTCGCGACATTCCACGGATTACGATAGCGCGACGAATAACTCACATCTCCACGGCGGTTTATTCGACACCGCGAAGTTAATCAGACATTTAAATCGATTGGGGGAGAGACACGTTCGAATAAAGTAGTAAAATATAGATTTTTATTATCGAGATGTGGCACCGTCCAGAAATATCTTTTTCACACCTTTTACGTAATGCGCAGCTATGCGGTAAGCGTGTTGGTGCGAAGAAAGTGAAAATTATTCCAGTATCACGGGATGATACGATTTTTATTATTTGCAAATTCTAGCGGTTTCCTATTCTCGCTGATCTCTAAATACCTCAGTCTTTCGGTAAAATGCAAATGACAAAAATTCAGCGACAAGTACAAGATATCCATAACATACTTTTAGCACTTGATACGATTAATTGAGCAAAAAAACGAACAAAAAAAATATATTTGACGTTTCATTAATTACTCCGCTTCTGAATTTTGGCCGATCTAAATCCTGTGACCTGTATTTCGCGGACGAATCGCCGATTGGAATGCTAAACGTAATCGAGGAAAATCGCTTTTGATTCCGACGGGAGAAAATTCTCGGCGGGCCACGCACCGACGTCACGCAGTGTCATCGGGCTAAACGGCTAAATTGTTCCGCAAGGCGATGAATCTTCGTTTCGGAGCACTTTCCTTTTCTAGCCGTGTCGCACCTTTGGTCCGCGCGGGTCGCAAACGCGGGGCCGGCCGAGCGCGCCGAAGGAGGCGGCGCGGACGATGATGACAGCGAAGAGAAGAAACCCCCATGAAGAGGCGCCGCGTAACGATACGACGGCGTCCACCTTCCTGTGCCTTCCTTTTCCGTAGAGGTATCCCCTCGGTGGCCTCTATAAAAGTTCGGAAGAGGCTCGACCGCACGCCACACGCGTGAAAGCTCGCAAGTGAAACGCCCGCTCAGACGTTCCTCTTTTTCTACGTGACTTACATTTCGGGAGTACTCTGTATCCGACGCACGCGGGAGAAATGCGGACCGCCGCAGTAAGTAACGCGAGGCCAGATCTCTTTAATTAATCGCTCGGCAAACTCGAAAAGGACTCGCGCTATCCGAAAGGCGATACGCGGTTATCCTTCCCTTTTTTCTTGTCTCTTTTTCTTTTTATTCATTTATTAGTGCGCCACTTCGCGTCTTTCGCGAGTTGAATGCAAGTGACCGCATCGGTGACTTCGATCAAATTATTCGCTCGAGTGGCTCGTTTACAGCGCAAATAAAATACGAAACCATCGCGCTATCATTTATACTCGTCGCGCGTGTGCGAGGAGCGTTTTGCTTCCATCGATACACTTGTGATATTCGATTGCAATTTTCCGAAATCGAACGAAACTTTCATCGCGTTATTAATCGAGGGCGATCGCAGAAACTTCGAGAGCGAACGCGTCTCTCTCGGGATATTCAAGACCGGTTGCTAAATTTGAGCCTCGATTGTCGCAATACTCTTACCGAGTAACGAGTGATCGAGTGACCAGGTGCGCTTTAATGAGACTAACTTTCGGTTCTGGTCCTTACGAAACCACTCCGATCACTTTGTGCCCGCCACATTTTTCGGGCCGTTCGCGCTCTCGCCGACGAAACGCGCACGCTGACAATTCGCCCGAGGAATTTTAAAAAAAAAGTTCGAAACAAAAAACGCCCGCTTTCTACTCGAGCCGTCCCTTGGGTAACGCGCGCGGAGATCTGCTCCGCATCGAATCCGCGCGTTTACATCATCGGTTCCAAGTGGCCGCGTCTGTCTTTTTTTTTTTTTATCTTTTTAAGCGATGGAAGTGCGTACCCCGTGTTTTCCCGGCGAGAGAAGAGAGGAAAAGTCCCTCGAGCTCCCGAGTGCATCGAGTGCATGTGAATCTCGCGAATTGAATTCGCGTTCGCTCGCGCGCGCGCGCGCGCTATCGCGAGCAAAAGTAAAAGGGATCCCGCCGCCGTCTACCCTCCCGCTATTCACTCCGACACGGTCTTGATAATTACACCGCGAAGGAAAATAGCGAAAGCTGGCACTGGCTTTCTGGAGTTTTGCGATGCGGCATTAAAGCATGATTAAACGATCGCGGGTCGTTAAGTGAGTAGGAAGTCACGCTCGAGCGAAGTTATCCCTTACGCACGTTGACGATATCGTCTCTTCCGCGCACGCTAATGGAACGTGCCCGTCGCGCGAGAATTGAAAAACGGCATGCTAAATTAATGGACTCTCTTGTCGCGCGGTGAAAAGATCGGTATAGTCGATTACGAGGTTTTAAGGACCAATTGATTGACAGCCGGGAGAAGCGCGCGATTTATTGAAAGTCTCTAACAAGCGGTTTGACGCGCGAGCGGCACTTGTGAAAACACCGTTACGTATCGCCTCCGTCGAAGATAAATACACAGAAATCGAGCGCGAGTACCGAGTCATCGTCGGAATTTGTATTCAAACGAGTCATTTTAATCGCTTAATTAACGCCTCGATCGCTGAATCGCCGATTTCGGATGGATAGCGATGAATCACACGCGCGAGAAGCGTAAATGGCAAAATGTCCATTACAAATTCGCTGACTGATACGTTGAGCAATATCGTTTTGCGCATTTCATCCGTTCACATTAAGTCAACACGAGCGGTAATGAGGTGATTTATCTTTGCGCGCGCGTTATCGCGAGCGTAATCAAAGAACAAAGTACTCGCGCCAATAATGAATTAAAAATAAATCGCACTTTCATTATCATCGGTTGAAAAAATTATTCTTATCACATGCGATTATCGCCGGCTTTCTTCTCCCAACAGAGCACGATTTTCGTGATCGCCTGTTCGTCGGTCGCGCTGGTGCTCGCGAAACCGGCGCCGGAGCCGCCGGTGAGCTCGTACTTTCCGCCCTCCGGTGGCGGGGGCGGCGGGGGCAGCTATGGACCGCCCGCGGCCAGTTATGGACCGCCGCAGCAGAATCCGGTGATCCACAAGCACGTGTACGTCCACGTGCCGCCGCCGGAAGCGCCGGAGTACAGGCCGCCCAAGCACATACCGCAGCCGCAGCCGCCGCAGAAGCACTACAAGATCGTGTTCATCAAAGCGCCGACACCGCCCACGCCGACCGCACCGCAATTGCCGCCGCTACCGCAACCGGACGAGGAGAAGACGCTCATCTACGTGCTGGTGAAGAAGCCGGAGGAAGCGCCCGATGTCGTACTCCCGACGCAAGCGCCCACGCAGCCCAGCAAGCCCGAAGTCTACTTCATCCGCTACAAGACTCAGGTGACGCTCTCTTTGTTTCTTGTCTTCTTCTACCTTACGATTCAGTGATTTTGGTATAATAATATGCCTAGCCTCGACAGAGATGACACACGTTTTATCGTCTAAATCTAAATGTAATGCATTGTGCAATCTCTAAAAGGCGCAATGTTGGCGAGCATGTTTCGCGTGACAAACGATCGCTTTTAAAGCAATCTATCGAGGTGGGAATTTCGGTTGAACGGAGAACATTTTAATGACGAAAAAGGAAAGTGCGACGCATCGTATGCAGAATATAAATGGCTCATTTTAATGGTAAAGTGAACGAGACGACGCGTCTTTTTTTTCTCGCGTTAATATATGCGCGTGAATGTAAAATGGATATGTGAATGATATCCACACGTCATATATTTCAGGCAGGCATGCGACCTCATTATTAATCGATCACCTGTTCATGGTTCGGCTATGAAAAAAAAAGTTGCCAAGGTGATTGCCATATCGGTGATTTAAATAACTACTGGAAAGTTTCTCAAGGAATTGTTCTCAATGTTCGGTGCGAGAGCAAGCTCGTTGAAATTTTCACAACAGAGTCTCGATTGGTAGCCATTAACTTGTATTGTACACACTAATCGCTCTATAACTCTTTGTTACAAAAAATATTTCGTTATACACGCTGCATTCCGCTTAGAGAGCTATAAATAATCGGATCGAAACTCATTCGCTTGCCGGCCGAGGAACGTTCTTCTACAGCATCAATCGAACTACTGAAAATATCTCTAACCCTAAAAAGTCACTTCGAGTCGCTCGTCTGCCAGCTACGCTAGATATGTGTATCGGCAAGATTTCAATAATGCGAATACAAGATTAAGCTAGTGAATTCTACGAATTGCAATCACAGAAAAGGCCACGGCCGCTCGCGATAACATGCGACGGACTACAGTATAAAATTCATATGTATGTATATATATATATGCGTATTTCATCGTTCAGCTTATCCCTTACGTGTTTATTTTTATGCATTACAGAAGGAGACGCAAAGCGGCGAATACGGCCCACCAGGGCAACAGCCGGGACAGCCCATCGACAGTTACGGAGCACCACATCCGGGTCCCAGTGGGCCGTATTAGATCGTCGATTCGACCGTATCCGAAACTCGGCATCTTAGAGATAGTTTCTTTTTTTTTTTCTCTACGAGAACTACTTCCCGATCATTTCGCAATGACGTGTCGCGAGCGCGAATCCAGCGAGTTTTCATAATCGTAGGAGGGATGTATATATTGCCAATATCTCGTAAGATAGGCCGCATGGTGTTAAAAGGTGCTTAAGAGGCGGACGCTTCGTGCTGCTAAGCCTACTCGTGATGTCGAAGTGTTCTCGAACGACTGACCGAGTACACGCGGAGTCGGCTCTCTTAAATGAATAATATAAAAACAAATCGCTTTATATCGAGACATCGATGTTTCTTTTTGTATCTTTTTAAGAAAATAATCGTAAATATACATTTTTTTTTATATCAAACAACACACTTCCAGTATTATTGATCACCTCGTCGCCTTTCACTCTCCACTAATTTTCGCTTCGCAGTCTTGCAATCCGCGTCGAGCTTCACGCTAGTGATACGGTATGGAGTCAAACTTGTGATCTAAATCGCACCCCCCCCCGCTACTCTAACTACCTTATCTTTTTACTTCGAATAATCATCTAGCAAGTTTGAAAACTCTCGAAAAAGTGCCTATTGCTCGCGCGTCACTATCTGTCGCTTACAGTTCTTGCAGTTGCTACAACGATAACGATTCGAAGACGTTTCGGAACGTGAGATGCCAAAGTAAGATTTTTGCAGGTATGCGATAGAGCGCACTTATTTAAAATATTTTGCGTTAGCATTAATTAAGTACAAGACGAATGATCAGCGATTCTTAAAAACTGTCATAATTCGTGCGCTCGCGTTTATCAACTAGATAAAGGTATCGCGTTA